TTGATTGAGTGGATTTCAGCTTGAAAGACACTCGGCCATGTGCCCATTGCCTCCGAAATGCTGGTGTTGGGTCCATATACATCAGCGCCAGTGCCTTCATCCATCTTTTACCCATCTGTGTACCAAACCAAACTTTTTGGGTCAACCTGTGGGCCTCCATTTTCCCACGTTGAACGTGATGGTAGGTGTACCTCAAATTTTTTGCCAAAACAATGGAGTTCTGTTGTATAGTCTCCATCGTATTGAGGAATTTTATGTGCTCCAAATGTTTTTAATATTGTTGTATGACCATAGTCAAGACAACCCTTGTTCATGTGGAGTTTTAGTCGAAGCACACTAAGCGCAGCCGTAGATTGAATGTGTATGTGCAGAGGTGTCAATCCAAGTATAGCCTCAAGTGCTGCAGTTGGACTTGTCCTCATAGTACCAGTCATTAAGAGACACTCTAATCTCTGGAGCTTCGTGCAAACCGCAATAGATTCAGCCTGTGTGACCTTTTGCCACCAAACCAGGCAACCATAAGTCATGATAGGACGTACTACTGCCTGCTATATCCAAAATATAATCTTTGGGTTTAGGCCCCAAGTTTAACCTATATAGGACCGTGTTGTCCATAAAGCCTTTAATGCTTTGTTGTATACTTTATTTAAGTGTGAACTCCAAGTGAGTTTACCATCTAGGACAACACCTAGGTACTTTGTTTCACTGGAGAGAGAAATATTAGTGTTTCCTAAACGTACGGGACCTATGTCTAGTTTACGTTTGAGTGTGAAAGGCACAACAACAGTTTTCTCCGGATTTATGGAGAGACCCTCACCTTCGCACCACGCTAAAATGCGTCGAAGGTGTCCTACCAAGATTTCTGATAGACTGCTACCATGCTTTCCCGATACTATTATAACTAGATCGTCTGCGTACCCAATGGCGTCACAACCAATATTCTCCAATAAGATTAAAAGTTCATCAACAACCACTGACCAGAGCAAAGGAGACAGTACTTTTGCAACCTTTTGCGGCCTCAACAGCTACAGACGTTCTACATAAGGTTGATGTAATTTTTCTGTTTTGAAGCATCGCCTTAATCCAGGAAATAACATCAAAATCAACATTTCTGTTAGTTAAGGCATTCGAGATCGAGCCAAAACTCGTATTGTCGAACGCTCCTTCAATATCCAGAAATGCACAAAGCGCAATTTCTTTGTTTTGGTGGGCCTTTTCAATTTTCCTGACCAAGTTATGTAAGGCCAATTTGGTAGATTTCCCTTTGGAATAAGCGAATTGAGTTTTGTGAAGAGGTTGACTTTTAGACAATTCTGTACGAATGTAGATATCTATGAGTCTTTCCATAGTTTTCAGGAGGAAGGATGAGAGACTAATCGGTCTATACGATTTAGCGTCATCGCTTGGTCTATTACCATTTGTTGGTATAAATACCACTTTCACTTCTCTCCAAGCTTCAGATATATGCTTCCAGCATAGGCTTGCCCTAAAAAGCATCTTTAAAGGATTGATAAGAACGTCTATGCCATATTGTATAAGTGCCGGGAAGATACCATCACTTCCTGGTGACTTGAAGGGACTGAAAGAATTAACTGCCCATCTGATTTTATCAATGTCAAAAATGATACCAGACAGCGACCTTAATCGATTGTCTAGTTGTTCATACCTTAACGTGCGCCTATCTATGGATGCATCACATAAGATCGATCCTGGAAAGTGCACATGTAGTAAATGTTGTAAAGTTTCCCTGCCATTTGTTGTGTAGAGACCATCACTCTTTTTCAATAGACCAATGTCATTTGAAAGAGACTTTCTCAACACTTTATGAAGGCGAGCCATTTGCGGAGTGTTGTCAACACTGTCACAGAAAGTTTTCCATGATTTCCGTTTAGATTTTCTAATATCATTGTTGTAGGCAGTCAAGGATGTTTTATAGTGTACCCACACCCCTGATCGCTTCGCTAAATTAAAAAGCTTCCTAACCTCCCTGCGCATTTCTTCGAGCTTGCTGTTCCACCATGGCACATCTTGTCTGGATGTACGTGGTTCAACCTTACATGCATCTTCATGCGCCTGAGAGATATCAGAGTTTATTTGATCTGCTGCTAATTCACGTTCATCAATATGACTGATTGAATTCAGTAATTGATCCTCCTTACTAGCTAAGAATAGTCTAAAGATTTCCCAGTTGATACACTTACGTGCAACTAATTTTTATGTAAAATCTGGCCTGGCAGTTCAAAAAGAATATGTTGGTGGTCAGATAAAGAAACCTCCTCTGAGACCCTCCAATTATCAACATAATTGGAGATAAATTGACTAGAAAGAGTAAGGTCAAGAACCTCTCTTCTAATGGCATTAATAAAAGTGGGTTCAGAACAATTGTTCAATATGCTGATGTTATTACTACTAAAGTATTCTAAAAGCATTTGCCCTCCTCTATTTATGTTAGTACTACCCCATAAGGTATGGTGCGCATAGCGTCGCAACCAATTATAAATTGTAAATGATTAGATTTGCAATAACATAATTTACCAAGTTTGTGACTGCTTCAGGTGGTGCTTCATCTGCATCGCCTGGAAAGTAGGCCGATGCGATCACGATCTCTCGTGTTCCGCACTCCGTCGGGACCTCAAAAATGGCCGACACCAAGTCCCTCTGGATGAAATCTGGAATTGGAATACAGTTAACATTTTTGTTTACTAGTATAGCAGTTCTAGGCGACTCTATGTCACGTTTATATATCAACTTACTTGATTGATGTTGAAGGCTTTTTATATGCCCACCGACTGTCCATGGCTCCTGGATAAGCGCTATGGCCAGTCCTTTTGTAGCGAAGGTCCTGCACAAGGTAGCCCATGTTGTAGTGGCATATTAACCATGACCACACACAATACGTTGTGTGCGGTATTTAATGTGTCATGCCAACCCAAAACTCTCAAATATCAAGCATGACCGAAAAACCTAATTGTCAAATATAAAATAATTTATGAGTCAGAAATTTGACTCGTCTATTTTGTCATTTCCTTATGACAAAATATTTGTATGCATATTTAATTATTTCAATATGCAATTTGACAATTTGGATAGTGGCATGCTAAACACATGAATTTGTGTTAAGTTTTTCACAGATCATATTGCAAGCGATTATGCATGCAATATGATTTGTCCTCAATACAGTTGGTTACCAGATGTGTGCCACTGTGAAATAGATATGAATAAATGACCAATAAGTAAATAAATAATATTTGTAAATTATTATGTACGTCTAATTTGGGTTAACCAATTAGACGTAAGTAAACGTAAGTAAATGTATGTATCAACCAATAGAATCGATACATAAGATTCTATTGGAAATTAGTTGTAAGAATTGATGTTAGAGTTAAGAAATAAAATTTAATAAAGATAGTCTCTTAAGAACACTCAAAACGACAAGTCTTTGATTTTTAAAGTATTTCAATATGATGTAACAATAAACTAATTACATGGCGATCCTGCTAAATCGGAAGGACTAAATTTTAAAACGATGTGTTATTAATAAAAAATTAACAATTTATGCTAAATCGGAAGGACTAAATTTTAAAGTGAAAATATTATTAATAAAAAATTAACAATTTATGCTAAATCGGAAGGACTAAATTTTAAAACGATGTATTATTAATAAAAAAAATGAACAATTTATACTAAATCGGAAGGACTAAATTTTAAAGCGAAAATATTATTCATAAAATATGAACAATTTATAGAATGATAAGTGGAAGTAATTATATAAGTGTATTAACAATAAAATGCAACTGTGAAAATACAAAATTAATTATGTGGTAAAAATGTAAAACAAATATAAATTATAAAATAAAAACAATTTATTGAACGATAAGTGCAAGTAACATAATTTAACTTTAAAAATGTGCAAATTTAACTGTTTTGTGTGTGGACAAACCTATAAGTCAAAAGGTTTGTTATTAAAACACCAACATAAACATAAGGATCTTATAAATTATGTTAACCAACTTTTTAAATCAGTGCGCGGTTATACAAAACAAAAATAAAAAACTCATGAACATTAATAAACATTAATAGAGTATGTGCACAAATAACAAAAACAACAGTTTCTTGGATTCAATTTCGTGGCATATAAGACGTCTTCATCAGTAACAACAACATATTCATCTGATTCAAGAAGAAAACTTCTCAATTTATAAATACAGCAAATTTCATCATCAACGACTCAACGATGGGATGGTTCTCCAGTGATGAATACAACACGAAGAACAACGTCCAACAGAAGACAGAGGTGACCAACAACAATCTACAGAACAATGCAGCTACAAGCACCGGAAATATAGAGGTAGTAATTATAACTTTATTTATAGTATTTATTATTTTATTAGTAGCATATAAAATAAACAAGTACATAAAAAAATATGTACATAAACGTGTACACACGGCGTTAAATTCTAATAACGTTTAAATACTAGCATGTTATTATATTTAAACAAAATTATAATATTATTATATATATATATTTTTTTTTATTCTTATTGTTACATTTAAATAATCATGACATAACTATAATATTATATATTTAAAAAAAAAAAAAATAATAATGAATTATATCTATGAATTATATCTCATACAAAATATACAAAAAAAAAAATGTATAAAAATTTTTTTCTATTGAATTTGTTGAATTTGAATTGTGTTGAATTTCATTTTCTTGTCCGATCTCGTTACTAATTTTGATCTCGTTTTGAATTTTGATAATTTTTATGGAAAACTTTGCTACATACATAGGGGAAGTTCAGGATATTCTTAAAAACGCAAAAAAGGCTAGTATCAGAGGATATACTAAGCCCACGATAGCCATTAAACTAAATAGGTTAGATGACCTTAAAAGGCTTATAGAAGCAACATATATAACCAAAAATTTTGAGGAATTTTTAGCTCTAAAAGAAATTTTTTTAGAAAAATATACTCAAACAAGAAAATATCTCTTGAATATGACATCAACTGAACAGACACCTGACGCTATAACCATAAATAACCACACAACAAGTGGTAATCAAAATAACAACGGTACACAAATAGCAAATATGGCGTCGTATGACTCTGTAATAGAAAGTGTAGAAAAACTCCTACCCGTTTTTACAGGAAAGCAAGAAGAATTAAGTTCTTTCTTGCGACGATTGAATTTGTATAGCAAGAAGATTAGAGACGAAGACAAACAAGAGTTCTTAGAGCACATCGTAGATTGCAAACTCAATCACAATGTGAAGATAAGAGTTTCGCCAGTAGGTTTTCCAACTTCAATGGAAACATTGGTAGAGAAACTCAAGTCAATTTACATACCGAAAGACACAGTTCCAATTCTCTTACAAAAAATAAGTGAAATTAGGCAAGGCCACAACCAGTCGATCACGGAATATAGTGATAAAATGGCCAAACTATTGTCAGACCTAAATACAGCGTCTCTATTAAAGAGAAATTATAGCCCAACCTCGCCACAAGCTGAAGGGATGCTAGCAACTAACGAAGAGAATGCATTACTGGCATACAAAAAAGGCCTTAATACAACATATTCGCAAGCTGTACAGATGTCACAGCCCAAAACTTTCCAGGAAGCGAGAGAAATCGCTGAAAGTTTACTTTTCACTGAACAGAACCAAAGAATGCTATACTACCGTGGTAACACGCCAAATGGCAATAGACCAAATGGCAATAGACCAAATGGCAATAGACTTATTGGCAACTGGTCCAATAATTATAACAATTATAATAATAATAATAACAATCGAAATAACCGGTACCATAACGGAAACAACCGATATAACAATAGAAATACATATAATAATAGTGGTCAAAGAAATCACAACAATCAAAGTAACAACAACTCAAATAGGAATCAAAATAATTCTCTTAACAGTAACAACAGGAATGTCCAAATAAATCGAGATAACAACAATAACAACTGGAGACAAATCAACAATAGAAACAATAACAGAAACGGAAACGGAAGGAACATTCGCTTAATGGCAGCACAGGAAAACTGCAACACACCAGAGGGAAACCAGTAGAATTCACCTCTGGTAAAATAAAAAAATATATCTACTCATTCAACCCACATGCATCGAACTATGTAAAAGTTCATTGCCATGACACTAACAACTATATAAAATTATTAATCGACACAGGAGCAGATGTGTCACTAATAAAAAACAAGTTTAATCTAAATTATAATTCGAATAAAACATGTATATTATCTGGTATCACAAACAACTATATAAATTCCATAGGCATCACGACTCTTCATATGATGTTTGAAAATATAAATTTAAAGCATGAATTTTCGGTGGTGGAAGAGGATTTTCCAATTGAGGTAGATGGCATCATCGGTAGAGATTTCCTAACCATTTTTAAATGTAATATTGATTATTACACTTTTTCGTTAACAGTTACCCACAATGAACAACAAATAACTATTCCCATATCATATAAACCAATTGTTCTACAAGCAAGAACAGAACATATATTACCTATAGACATGTATTTCGATGATGATACATTGTTGATTTCTCAAGAAATTGACAAAGGTGTTTTCATTGCAAATACAATACTACCAGCAAGAGGAAACTGCCACATTCGAGTTTTGAACACGAATGAACACAGTGTTACTCTAAATACACTAAATTTTAAAACCCGTCCTTTGAACGAGTATTATAAAGTTAATAAAGACCCTTGTAACAAATATAATGAACCACGTTCACAAAAACTTTTAAATAAATTACAAATAGGAACGCAACATAACAAATGTGACGATAAGGAACTTATCTCACTGGTA